ATTGTACATACACAACTAATTACGATATTTTATATAAACAACTAATTACGACATTGTAAAGATGATCTAACCAAACTTGGGCCGATACACTTTATCTACAACTGCCTGTTGTTTACAAATATTGTCAAATAAGGCTTTGCAAGTGTTGCATACAAATATCTGTAACAATCAAGTATGATAGTGATAATCATAACTATCAACTTTCTATATATACAGTCAAGTATGATAGTGATAATCATAACTATCAACTTTCTATATATACAATCAAGTATGATAGTGATAATCATAACTATCAACTTTCTATATATACAATCAAGTATGATAGTGATAATCATAACTATCAACTTTCTATATATACAATCAAGTATGATAGTGATAATCATAACTATCAACTTTCTATATATACAATCAAGTATGATAGTGATAATCATAACTATCAACTTTCTATATATACAATCAAGTATGATAGTGATAATCATAACTATCAACTTTCTATATATACAATCAAGTATGATAGTGATAATCATAACTATCAACTTTCTATATATACAATCAAGTATGATAGTGATAATCATAACTATCAACTTTCTATATATACAATCAAGTATGATAGTGATAATCATAACTATCAACTTTCTATATATACAATCAAGTATGATAGTGATAATCATAACTATCAACTTTCTATATATACAATCAAGTATGATAGTGATAATCATAACTATCAACTTTCTATATATACAATCAAGTATGATAGTGATAATCATAACTATCAACTTTCTATATATACAATCAAGTATGATAGTGATAATCATAACTATCAACTTTCTATATATACAATCAAGTATGATAGTGATAATCATAACTATCAACTTTCTATATATACAATCAAGTATGATAGTGATAATCATAACTATCAACTTTCTATATATACAATCAAGTATGATAGTGATAATCATAACTATCAACTTTCTATATATACAATCAAGTATGATAGTGATAATCATAACTATCAACTTTCTATATATACAATCAAGTATGATAGTGATAATCATAACTATCAACTTTCTATATATACAATCAAGTATGATAGTGATAATCATAACTATCAACTTTCTATATATACAATCAAGTATGATAGTGATAATCATAACTATCAACTTTCTATATATACAATCAAGTATGATAGTGATAATCATAACTATCAACTTTCTATATATACAATCAAGTATGATAGTGATAATCATAACTATCAACTTTCTATATATACAATCAAGTATGATAGTGATAATCATAACTATCAACTTTCTATATATACAATCAAGTATGATAGTGATAATCATAACTATCAACTTTCTATATATACAATCAAGTATGATAGTGATAATCATAACTATCAACTTTCTATATATACAATCAAGTATGATAGTGATAATCATAACTATCAACTTTCTATATATACAATCAAGTATGATAGTGATAATCATAACTATCAACTTTCTATATATACAATCAAGTATGATAGTGATAATCATAACTATCAACTTTCTATATATACAATCAAGTATGATAGTGATAATCATAACTATCAACTTTCTATATATACAATCAAGTATGATAGTGATAATCATAACTATCAACTTTCTATATATACAATCAAGTATGATAGTGATAATCATAACTATCAACTTTCTATATATACAATCAAGTATGATAGTGATAATCATAACTATCAACTTTCTATATATACAATCAAGTATGATAGTGATAATCATAACTATCAACTTTCTATATATACAATCAAGTATGATAGTGATAATCATAACTATCAACTTTCTATATATACAATCAAGTATGATAGTGATAATCATAACTATCAACTTTCTATATATACAATCAAGTATGATAGTGATAATCATAACTATCAACTTTCTATATATACAATCAAGTATGATAGTGATAATCATAACTATCAACTTTCTATATATACAATCAAGTATGATAGTGATAATCATAACTATCAACTTTCTATATATACAATCAAGTATGATAGTGATAATCATAACTATCAACTTTCTATATATACAATCAAGTATGATAGTGATAATCATAACTATCAACTTTCTATATATACAATCAAGTATGATAGTGATAATCATAACTATCAACTTTCTATATATACAATCAAGTATGATAGTGATAATCATAACTATCAACTTTCTATATATACAATCAAGTATGATAGTGATAATCATAACTATCAACTTTCTATATATACAATCAAGTATGATAGTGATAATCATAACTATCAACTTTCTATATATACAATCAAGTATGATAGTGATAATCATAACTATCAACTTTCTATATATACAATCAAGTATGATAGTGATAATCATAACTATCAACTTTCTATATATACAATCAAGTATGATAGTGATAATCATAACTATCAACTTTCTATATATACAATCAAGTATGATAGTGATAATCATAACTATCAACTTTCTATATATACAATCAAGTATGATAGTGATAATCATAACTATCAACTTTCTATATATACAATCAAGTATGATAGTGATAATCATAACTATCAACTTTCTATATATACAATCAAGTATGATAGTGATAATCATAACTATCAACTTTCTATATATACAATCAAGTATGATAGTGATAATCATAACTATCAACTTTCTATATATACAATCAAGTATGATAGTGATAATCATAACTATCAACTTTCTATATATACAATCAAGTATGATAGTGATAATCATAACTATCAACTTTCTATATATACAATCAAGTATGATAGTGATAATCATAACTATCAACTTTCTATATATACAATCAAGTATGATAGTGATAATCATAACTATCAACTTTCTATATATACAATCAAGTATGATAGTGATAATCATAACTATCAACTTTCTATATATACAATCAAGTATGATAGTGATAATCATAACTATCAACTTTCTATATATACAATCAAGTATGATAGTGATAATCATAACTATCAACTTTCTATATATACAATCAAGTATGATAGTGATAATCATAACTATCAACTTTCTATATATACAATCAAGTATGATAGTGATAATCATAACTATCAACTTTCTATATATACAATCAAGTATGATAGTGATAATCATAACTATCAACTTTCTATATATACAATCAAGTATGATAGTGATAATCATAACTATCAACTTTCTATATATACAATCAAGTATGATAGTGATAATCATAACTATCAACTTTCTATATATACAATCAAGTATGATAGTGATAATCATAACTATCAACTTTCTATATATACAATCAAGTATGATAGTGATAATCATAACTATCAACTTTCTATATATACAATCAAGTACGATAGTGATAATCATAACTATCAACTTTCTATATATACAATCAAGTACGATAGTGATAATCATAACTATCAACTTTCTATATATACAATCAAGTACGATAGTGATAATCATAACTATCAACTTTCTATATATACAATCAAGTACGATAGTGATAATCATAACTATCAACTTTCTATATATACAATCAAGTACGATAGTGATAATCATAACTATCAACTTTCTATATATACAATCAAGTACGATAGTGATAATCATAACTATCAACTTTCTATATATACAATCAAGTACGATAGTGATAATCATAACTATCAACTTTCTATATATACAATCAAGTACGATAGTGATAATCATAACTATCAACTTTCTATATATACAATCAAGTACGATAGTGATAATCATAACTATCAACTTTCTATATATACAATCAAGTACGATAGTGATAATCATAACTATCAACTTTCTATATATACAATCAAGTACGATAGTGATAATCATAACTATCAACTTTCTATATATACAATCAAGTACGATAGTGATAATCATAACTATCAACTTTCTATATATACAATCAAGTACGATAGTGATAATCATAACTATCAGTTTTCTATATATACAATCAAGTACGATAGTGATAATCATAACTATCAACTTTCTATATATACAATCAAGTACGATAGTGATAATCATAACTATCAGTTTTCTATATATACAATCAAGTACGATAGTGATAATCATATCTATCAACTTTCTATATATACAATCAAGTACGATAGTGATAATCATAACTATCAGTTTTCTATATATACAATCAAGTATGATAGTGATAATCATAACTATCAACTTTCTATATATACAATCAAGTACGATAGTGATAATCATAACTATCAGTTTTCTATATATACAATCAAGTACGATAGTGATAATCACAACTATCAATTTTCAATATATACAATCAAGTATGGCTTAAAATCAAAACGAGGGAAAGCCAAAACGCCATGAAAACCGCAACATGATCTCAAAATCAATAAAACTAGGGCAAAATACGAACAATTGAAGATATTAACACAGATTGCAAAGATTGTCATACAGAAACGTGATACGCTAGAGTTCTCGTCTTTTTTTTTGGGGGGGGGGGGGGCGGGGGATAGAAAATATATATGTAGGGTTTGCCTGGTTATCACGTTAGCAAAATTCATTTTTACAAACAGGCTGTGTAGAAGTGGTTACGGACAAAGAACAAGTTATTTGATGTTTTGTCTGCAGACATATCTACATACCTAGCATGCAAACTGCTGAATGTGGACATCGGGGTCAACAAATACAGGCCTATTTTGGGTTTTCATTTTGGGTTTCAAAGCAGTTAGTTATTTTTTTGAATGATGGACCTGATCGATTTGGCCTTATCTGAAAGTGAATCCAATTCAGCATGCTTTCTATTGGCCCATATCTGACGTACTAACCCCAACTACGAAATATCTATAATTGTACAGTCGTGAAAAGCGAAGGTAAACTATAACTATAAACTATCTATAACTACAGTTTACAGTTTAGTATGGTTATGTGGTATCGCTACAATTTATTTTTTGAATATTGTGTCCTTTATTGCAGCCATAATGATCTGGCGTACCAATACTTCAGAAACGTGGACAATAGAGTCTATCGCGTCAACATGAGAGAGGATTTACGAAAAGTCTGGCCCAACGCATCAGTCCATACAGATATACCCAGGATACAGCGGGGGAGACTCGGGGCTCAGGTAACCACACACACACACACACACACACAAAACACACACACACACAAAACACACACACACACACACTGATAACCAGGATACAGCGGGGGAGACTCGGGGCTCAGGTAACCACACACACACACACACACACACAAAACACACACACACACAAAACACACACACACACACACTGATAACCAGGATACAGCGGGGGAGACTCGGGGCTCAGGTAACCACACACACACACACACACACACAAAACACACACACACACAAAACACACACACACACACACTGATAACCAGGATACAGCGGGGGAGACTCGGGGCTCAGGTAACCACACACACACACACACACACACAAAACACACACACACACAAAACACACACACACACACACTGATAACCAGGATACAGCGGGGGAGACTCGGGGCTCATGTAACCAAAACACTTCCTCCTACCAACACACACACACAGACACACACACACACAGAGACAGACAGACAGACACACACACACACTCACACACAGATACACACACATACAGATACACACACACACAGACACACACACACACACACAGACCTATAACAGACCTACTTAACCTTTTTGTTATTAGTTTTGAACGTAAAAATAACACATGTTTTATAAAGCAGTTTTGTATGTTTGAAATACAGTTTATTAATCAGTGTTGTACGTATAGACTCCATTTGTTTATTAATTAATGTTGTACGTATAGACTCCATTTGTTTATTGATTAGTGTTGTACGTATAGACTCAATTTGTTTATTAATTAGTGTTGTACTTTAGACTACACATGTTAATTTTTTAGTGTTGTACGTATAGACTTTACGTGTTTATTAATAAGTGTTGTACTATAGACAACACGTGTTTATCCATAATTGTTGTACGTATAGACTACACGTGTTTATTATTTAGTGTTGTACGTAAAAACTTCACATGTTTATTATTTAGTGTTGTACGTATAGACTACACTTGTGTATTAATCAGTGTTGTACAGAAGACTACACGTGTTTATTAATCAGTGTTGTACTATAGTGTTGTACGTGTAGACTACACATGTTAATCAGTGTTGTACGTGTAGACTACACGGGTTAATTAATTAGTGTTGTACGTATAGACTCAATTTGTTTATTAATTAGTGTTGTTCCTATAAGCTACACTTGTTTATTTATAAGTTTTGTACGTATAGACAACACGTGTTTATTTATTAGTGTTGTACGTTTAGACTACTCGTATTAATTAATCAGTGGTTTATTAATTAGTGTTGTACGTATAGACAACACATGTTTATTAATCAGTGTTGTACTAAAGACTACACGTGTTTATTAATTAGTTTATTAATCAGTGTTGGACTATAGACTACACGTGTTTATTAATCAGTGTTTTACGTGTATACTAACGTGTTTATTAATCATTGTTGTACTATAGACTACACGTGTTTATTAATAAGTGCTGTACGTGTAGACTACCCATGTTTTTTATTAGTGTTGTACGTATAGACTTCCCGTGTTTATTAATTAGTGTTGTACTTTAGACTACACATGTTAATTTTTTAGTGTTGTACGTATAGACTTTACGTGTTTATTAATAAGTGTTGTACTATAGACAACACGTGTTTATCCATAATTGTTGTACGTATAGACTACACGTGTGTATTAATCAGTGTTGTACTATAGTGTTGTACGTGTAGACTACACGTGTTTACAGTGTTGTGCTATAGACTACACGTGTTTATTAATAAGTGTTGTACTATAGACAACACGTGTTTATCCATAATTGTTGTACGTATAGACTACACGTGTTTATTATTTAGTGTTGTACGTATAGACAACACGTGTTTATTTATTAGTGTTGTACGTTTAGACTACACGTGTTTATTAATTTGTTGTACGTATAGACTCCATTTGTTTATTAATCAGTGTTGTACGTGCATACTAACGTGTTTATTAATTAGTGTTGTTCGTATAGACTCCATTTGTTTATTGATTAGTGTTGTACGTATAGACTCAATTTGTTTATTAATTAGTGTTGTTCCTATAAGCTACACTTGTTTATTTATAAGTTTTGTACGTATAGACAACACGTGTTTATTTATTAGTGTTGTACGTTTAGACTACTCGTATTAATTAATCAGTGGTTTATTAATTAGTGTTGTACGTATGACTCCATTTGTTTATTAATTAGTGTTATACGTATAGACTCCATTTGTTTATTAATTAATGTTGTACGTATAGACTCCATTTGTTTATTGATTAGTGTTGTACGTATAGACTACACTTGTGTATTAATCAGTGTTGTACAGAAGACTACACGTGTTTATTAATCAGTGTTTTACGTGTATACTAACGTGTTTATTAATCATTGTTGTACTATAGACTACACGTGTTTATTAATAAGTGTTGTACTATAGACAACACGTGTTTATCCATAATTGTTGTACGTATAGACTACACGTGTTTATTATTTAGTGTTGTACGTAAAAACTTCACATGTTTATTATTTAGTGTTGTACGTAAAAACTTCACATGTTTATTATTTAGTGTTGTACGTAAAAACTTCACATGTTTATTATTTAGTGTTGTACGTAAAAACTTCACATGTTTATTATTTAGTGTTGTACGTAAAAACTTCACATGTTTATTATTTAGTGTTGTACGTAAAAACTTCACATGTTTATTATTTAGTGTTGTACGTAAAAACTTCACATGTTTATTATTTAGTGTTGTACGTATAGACTACACGTGTTTATTAATAAGTGTTGTACGTGTAGACTCCATTTGTTTATTAATTAGTGTTGTTCGTATAGACTCCATTTGTTTATTAATTAATGTTGTACGTATAGACTCCATTTGTTTATTGATTAGTGTTGTACGTATAGACTACACTTGTGTATTAATCAGTGTTGTACAGAAGACTACACGTGTTTATTAATCAGTGTTGTACGTGCATACTAACGTGTTTATTAATTAGTGTTGTTCGTATAGACTCCATTTGTTTATTGATTAGTGTTGTACGTATAGACTACACGTGTGTATTAATCAGTGTTGTACTATAGATTACACGTGTTTATTAATTAATGTTGTACTATAGACTACACATGTTTATTAATTAGTGTTGTACGTACGTATAGACTCCATTTGTTTATTAATTAGTGTTATACGTATAGACTCCATTTGTTTATTGATTAGTGTTGTACGTATAGACTACACTTGTGTATTAATCAGTGTTGTACAGAAGACTACACGTGTTTATTAATCAGTGTTGTACTAAAGACTACACGTGTTTATTAATTAGTTTATTAATCAGTGTTGGACTATAGACTACACGTGTTTATTAATAAGTGCTGTACGTGTAGACTACCCATGTTTTTTATTAGTGTTGTACGTATAGACTTCACGTGTTTATTAATTAGTGTTGTACGTGTAGACTACACGGGTTAATTAATTAGTGTTGTACGTATAGAATACACGTGTTTATTAATTAGTGTTGTACGTGTAGACTACACATGTTAATCAGTGTTGTACGTGTAGACTACACCTGTTTATTAATTAGTGTTGTACGTTTAGTCTACACGTGTTTATTAATCAATGTTGTACGTATAGATTACAAGTGTGTATTAATCAGTGTTGTACAGAAGACTACACGTGTTTATTAATCAGTGTTGTACGCGTATACTAACGTGTTTATTAATTAGTGTTGTTCGTATAGACTCCATTTGTTTATTAATTAATGTTGTACGTATAGACTCCATTTGATCATTAATTAGTGTTGTACGTATAGACAACACGTGTTTATTTATTAGTGTTGTACGTTTAGACTACACGTGTTTATTAATCAGTGTTTTACGTGTATACTAACGTGTTTATTAATCATTGTTGTACTATAGACTACACGTGTTTATTAATTAGTGTTGTACTTGTAGACTACACGTGTTTATTAATCAGTGTTGTACGTGTATACTAACGTGTTTATTAATTAGTGTTGTACGTTTAGACTACACGTGTTTATTAATCAGTGTTGTACGTATAGATTACAAGTGTGTATTAATCAGTGTTGTACTATAGACTACACTTGTTTATTAATTAGTGTTGTACGTATAAACTACACGTGTTTATTTATAAGTGTTGTACGTATAGACAACACGTGTTTATTTATTAGTGTTATACGTATAGACTACACGTGTTTATTAATCAGTGTTGTACTATAGACTACACACGATTATTAATCAGTGTTGTACGTGTAGACTACACGTGTTTACAGTGTTGTGCTATAGACTACACGTGTTTATTAATTAGTGTTGTACGTATAGACAACACGTGTTTATTTATTAGTGTTATACGTATAGACTACACGTGTTTATTAATCAGTGTTGTACGTGTAGACTACACGTGTTTACAGTGTTGTGCTATAGACTACACGTGTTTATTAATTAGTGTTGTACGTATAGACTACAGATGTTTATTAATTAGTGTTGTACTTGTAGACTACACATGTTTATTTATCAGTGTTGTACGTGTATACTAACGTGTTTATTAATCATTGTTGTACTATAGACTACACGTGTTTATTAATTAGTGTTGTACGTATAGACTACACGTGTTTATTAATCAGTGTTGTACTAAAGACTACACGTGTTTATTAATTAGTGTTGTACGTATAGACTACACATGTTTATTAATTAGTGTTGTACTTGTAGACTACACATGTTTATTTATCAGTGTTGTACGTGTATACTAACGTGTTTATTAATTAGTGTTGTACGTTTAGACTACACGTATTAATTAATCAGTGTTGTACGTGTAGACTACACGGGTTAATTAATTAGTGTTGTACGTATAAACTACACGTGTTTATTTATAAGTGTTGTACGTGTAGACTACACATGTTTATTGATCAGTGTTGTACGTATAGACTACACGTGTTTATTAATTAGTGTTGTACTATAGACTACACGTGTTTATTGATCAGTGTTGTACGTATATATTACACGTGTTTATTTATTAGTGTTGTACGTGTAGACTACACGTGTTTATTAATTAGTGTTGTACGTATAGACTTCACGTGTTTATTTATTAGTGTTGTACTTATAGACTACACGTGTTTATTTATCAGTATTGTACGTGTAGACTACACATGTTAATTAATCAGTGTTGTACGTGTATACTACACGTGTTTATTAATTAGTGTTGTACTATAGACTGCACGTGTTTATTTATCAGTAGTGTACGTGTAGACTTCACGTGTTTATTGATCAGTGGTGTACGTATAGACTACCCATGTTTATTTATTAGTGTTGTACGTGTAGACTACACGTGTTTACAGTGTTGTACGTATAGGCTACACGTGTTTATTGATAAGGTTGTACACCTGTTCTGTTGACAGTTCTGGGCCTGCTATGTCAGCTGTAACACTCAGTATAAGGATGCTGTGCGTCGCTCGCTCGACCAACTTGATACCATTAAAAAGTTCACGAAGAAATACCCGGATGTGTTTGAGTTTGTCACTTCTGCTCAAGGTGAGTATGCTCCACACGTTGCTTTTGACTATGGGTGGGTGTATATTTGCATCATTTGGTGATTACGTCACAGATTCGTGTGTAGTAGGGTACACAAAATGACGGTTATTTCACTCTTGTCATTGTACGTAGAGCAATGTTTCAACTAAACTCAATGCTATACCGACGAAAAAAGTGTACATAGTATATAATGTAAAAGTGCAGAATTCTCTCTCATACAGGTGTACTATGACTCAGGCATGGCCTGGAGAGAGCGTTGATCGTACTGTACATTTGTTTGAAAACATTTAATTATTGAATCATAACATAATACATTTGAATACTTACTAAAATACATTATTATTTGTTTCAATAAAGATATTTTACTTTACAAAACTATACAGACAATGTTTGTCTTCTTTAAGTAATGGTTGATTTTGTTGATTAGATGAAACTAGATTCAATGTATTGTATAAGCAGATCTAGGATTGAAATTCCACAGTTTTAGTTGTAAACACTAAAAGTATGAAGGTAATATCACAAATTTTGATCAGATATCAACAGAAATGACCCCCAAATGGAAGAATTTAGAAGAACTGAATTTAAAATTGACGTTCTACATTTAATGCGGAAAAAAGACATAAATTATGTTTCTAACAACTTATTAATTGTACTACGAAATTATTTAGTCTAAGCAAGAGTAGTGATACTGGAAATTCCATAACTTGACCCTTTAAAACACCCTACGTTTCCCTTGGAAAGCTGTCGGGGACATTTCTGTGGCATCATGTGTTTCGGTGTACATACACCTCGTCAATGATCTGACCTCTTTTTATCCAATTAAAATCAAGCGACCTCGTAAGTGAACCTGCTTCGTACATACTCGGGTATTTCCGGTCTAGTTGGACGATCGAGTATCAATGTTTAGATGGAAAAGTTGTAGGTTGAGAAAGTTGTCAGTATCAACTTTTCTATTTCTTTCCGAAATTTAAGCTCTTTTAATCGACGAAAGTACTATTTGTCATCTAATCACATGCTTACGCACTCTTCGACGCCATTTGCTTGTGACATTCATGTAAGGTTTTTGATGACCATACCAACGCATTTCTCGATTCGATAGTAAAGTCAAGAAATCGTGGAAATAAACTCGCCCATTGTATTGAATATGGTCATTTTTTTTATTTTTTTTTTAAAACGTTGTTTCGAATTCATCATTTCCCTGCTACGTTACATGTCGCTCTTTCATTCGATTAGGCATGCTTACGGGCGCCATGAACCGGAACAGGTCACCGGAAGTACGAAAAGTTTCTAGGCTGTAGCTGTACGATTTAGGGATGGAATCAGTTTGGGTTGGGTCAGGTCTATTTAAACGAACACGTTACCGGTAAAAAGCTCCGCACGAGTGATACGGCACCCTTGAGCTTCGCTCTTATAGCTAAACCTTGTCAGAGCTGTCATGGCACGCCCCTTCCCGTAAAAGATTTTTTAAGGTAACAGACGACGTTAGTTTTCCAATGCCTCTACAAGAAGTCGAACTCGGAATCTTTGGTTTACTCGTCTTACGCTCTACCGAATAAGCAAAATGTATTTCCCTAGCCGAGTTGGTAGGAAGCGTCTAGTATTTTACCAGAGTGACATACTCCCGACCCAGTAAAAAACCTCTAAGGGTCATAGCAATTCTCTTGAAAGTATTGCTGAGTATTCTTGTCAATATTCCCATGTCCTTCCGTGGGCGCTGATGTCACAGAGGTCTATACGTGTCAATACCTCAGCTGGGAGTCGAACCCGGAACCTTGGAACTTCTGGTTTACTAGTTGTACACTCTACAGTACCGAATCAGCTTAAAGCCTTCTTTACATGCTGCTAACCTTTCTTCTTTTGGACAATATTCTGGACACCAAGGTAATGAGCATTAAGCATGTTATCACTTCAGGTATCCTCGATACGTTCTCCAAGGGGAAATTCTCGAGTCTGGTAGGCCTGGAGGGAGGCCATTCTATCGACAGCAGTCTCGCTAACCTGCGCATGTTCTATGACCTTGGGGTCAGATACATGACTGTTACTCACAGCTGCAATACTCCTTGGTAAGTAACATGTTGTTACATGACGGTGTAACATGTATCTGACATTATAACATGTATCTGGCATTATAACATATAACATGTATCAGACATTTTAACATGTATCTGACATTATAACATGTATCTGACATTATAACATATAACATGTATCTGACATTATAACATGTATCTGACACTATAACATGTATCTGACATTATAACATATAACATGTATCTGACATTATAACTTGTAACATGTATCTGACATTATAACATGTAGCTGACACTATAACATGTATCTGACACTATAACATATAACATGTATCTGACATTATAACATGTATCTGACACTATAACATGTATCTGACATTATGACATATAACATGTATCTGACATTATAACATGTATCTGACAATATAACATGTATCTGACATTATAACATGTATCTGACATTATAACATGTATCTGACATTATAACATGTATCTGACATTATAACATGTATCTGACATTATAACATGTATCTGACATTATAACATGTATCTGACATTATAACATGTATCTGACATTATAACATGTATCTGACATTATAACATGTATCTGACATTATAACATGTATCTGACATTATAACATGTATCTGACATTATAACATGTATCTGACATTATAACATGTATCTGACATTATAACATGTATCTGACATTATAACATGTATCTGACATTATAACATGTATCTGACATTATAACATGTATCTGACATTATAACATGTATCTGACATTATAACATATAACATGTATCTGACATTATAACATGTATCTGACACTATAACATGTATCTGACACTATAACATATAACATGTATCTGACATTATAACATGTATCTGACACTATAACATGTATCTGACATTATGACATATAACATGTATCTGACATTATAACATGTATCTGACAATATAACATGTATCTGACATTATAACATGTATCTGACATTATAACATGTATCTGACATTATAACATATAACATGTATCTGACATTATAACATGTATCTGACAATATAACATGTATCTGACATTATAACATGTATCTGACATTATAACATGTATCTGACATTATAACATATAACATGTATCTGACATTATAACATGTATCTGACAATATAACATGTATCTGACATTATAACATGTATCTGACATTATAACATGTATCTGACATTATAACATATAACATGTATCTGACATTATAACATGTATCTGACACTATAACATGTATCTGACATTATAACATATAACATGTATCTGACATTATAACATGTATCTGACATTATAACATGTATCTGACATTATAACATATAACATGTATCTGACATTATAACATGTATCTGACACTATAACATGTATCTGACACTATAACATATAACATGTATCTGACATTATAACATGTATCTGACACTATAACATGTATCTGACATTATGACATATAACATGTATCTGACATTATAACATGTATCTGACAATATAACATGTATCTGACATTATAACATGTATCTGACATTATAACATGTATCTGACATTATAACATGTATCTGACATTATAACATGTATCTGACATTATAACATGTATCTGACATTATAACATGTATCTGACATTATAACATGTATCTGACATTATAACATGTATCTGACATTATAACATGTATCTGACATTATAACATGTATCTGACATTATAACATGTATCTGACATTATAACATATAACATGTATCTGACATTATAACATGTATCTGACACTATAACATGTATCTGACATTATAACATATAACATGTATCTGACATTATAACATGTATCTGACACTATAACATGTATCTGACATTATGACATATAACATGTATCTGACATTATAACATGTATCTGACACTATAACATGTATCTGACATTATAACTTGTATCTGACATTGTAACATGTATCTGACATTATAACTTGTATCTGACATTGTAACATGTATCTGACATTATAACTTGTATCTTTAGCTAGAAATTGTACATGATTATTTGTAAATTATTGTTACCCGGGGCAACATTGTTACTAATAGCATAATGTTTTCATGGTCATTTCATAACTTTCGATTTTCCAAAGCTAAGAAAACCATTACTAATAGAAAAATCTGCACTTTAGGAAACTTTTATTAATCTCAGTATTGATCTCAAATGCAAAAACGTGTAACACGGGCTACTTTCATGTTTACCTATCATTACATATAATAACCCGTAATAACCAATTTATCTGTGTCTGCCGGATATCCGATCGAACTTCTTGGTTAAAGTGAAGCGGACGTAAAACTAATCAATCCATGTAAATGTAGTTGCCTGGTAACCTGTAGTAGCTTTGTTATTTGTAGTGAAATGGTTACCTATTAGTTACCGTAGCAACAATATAATCTGTGGATACCTGGTTACCTGTTGTAACTTTATTATTTGTGGTGAAACGGTTACCGATAATTACAGTACCAATATGTTTATCTGTGGTTACCTATAGACAATGACTATTTATAGAAGAACAGTGAACATAAAGCCAAACACGGTTTGTCATTCTTTCTCTCATGTCTTTTGATTTTGAAATCATCTTTAATTCAATTCTATTTGCATACACAACAGGGCCGATAACTGGACAGTTGACCGCGACAACAACCCCGAACACAACGGACTGACAGAGTTTGGCAAGGTAACTACTCGTAGCCACTCATACTGACCACAGAGTGAACGTTGACCCTTGGTTGAATGCTGGATCGTGAGTGAATACTCAGAATGCATCAAGTGTCACAGTGCAAGTGGTGGATATATTGCTTATGTAAATGGTGTCTTCCGTTTGTGAAATGTATCTTATAGGTGGTGTTTCCGTGGTTGAATAGTGTGCCCCTATAATAAATTTGTTCTGTTGTTGAAAAGTTTCTTGCGCGTTATTGGTGCATTGTGTATAACTGGTGGATTGTAGATAAATACTATTTTGGGTGAAAGTGTTACATGGTTGGGTGAAAGTGTTACATGGTTGGGTGAAAGTGTTACATGGTTGGGTGAAAGTGTTACATGGTTGGATGAAAGTGTAGCATGGTTGGGTGAAAGTGTTACATGGTTGGGTGAGAGTGTTACATGGTTGGGTGAGAGTGTTACATGGTTGGGTGAAAGTGTAACATGGTTGGGTGAAAGTGTTACATTGTTGGGTGAAAGTGTAACATGGTTGGGTGAAAGTGTAACATGGTTGGTAGAGTGTGTTACATGGTTGGATGAAAGTGTTACAGGGCTGGGAGAGTGTGTTTCATGGTTGGGTGAAAGTGTTACATGGTTGGGTGAAAGTGTTACATGGTTGGGTGAAAGTGTGACCTGGTTGAGAGAGAGTGTGTTACATGGTTGGCTGAAAGTGATACATGGTTGGGTGAAATTGTTTCATAGTTGGATGAAAGTGTTACATGGTTGGTAAAGTGTGTTACATGGTTGGGTGAAAGTGTGTCATGGCTGAGTGAAAGTGTTTCATAGTTTGATGAAAGTGTTACATGGTTCGTAGAGTGTGTTGCATAGTTGGGTGAAATGTAACATGGTTGGTAGAGTGTGCTACATGGTTCGGTAAAAGTGTTACATTGTTGGGTGAAAGTGTTTATGGTTGGTAGAGTGTGTTACATGGTTCGGTAAAAGTGTTACATTGTTGGGTGAAAGTGTTACATGGTTGGTAGAGTGAGTTACATGGTTCGGTAAAAGTGTTACATGGATGGGTGTAAGTGTAACATGGCTGGTAGAGTGTGTTACATGGTTGGGTGAAAATGTTACATGGTTGGTAGAGTGTGTTACATGGTTGGGTGAAAGTGTTACATGGTTGGATGAAAGTGTTACATGGTTGGATGAAAGGTGTTACATGGTTTGGTGAAAATGTTTAATAGTTGGATAAAAGTGTTACATGGTTCGTAGAGTGTGTTACATGGTTGGGTGAAATGAAACATGGTTGGTAGTGTGTGCTACATGGTTCGGTTAAAGTGTAACATTGTTGGGTGAAGGTGTTTTATGGTTGGTAGAATGTGTTACATGGTTCGGTAAAAGTGTTACATGGATGGGTGTAAGTGTAACATGGTTGGTAGAGTGTGTTACATGGTTGGGTGAAAATGTTACATGGTTGGTAGAGTGTGTTACATGGCTGGGTGAAAGTGTTACATGGTTGGTAGAGTGTGTCACATGGTTGGGTAACAGTGTAACATGGTTGGTAGAGTGTGTTTCATGGTTGGGTGAAAGTGTTACATGGTTGGTAGAGTGTGTTACATGGTTGGGTGAAAGTGTTACATGGTTGGGTGAAAGTGTTACATGGTTGGTAGAGTATGTTACATGGTTGGGTGAAAGTGTTACATGGTTGGTAGAGTGTGTTACATGGTTGGGTGAAAATGTTACATGGTTGGTAGAGTGTGTTTCATGGTTGGGTGAAAGTGTTACATGATTGGTAGAGTGTGTAACATGGTTGGGTGAAAGTGTTACATGGTTGGTAGAGTGTGTTACATGGTTGGGTGAAAGTGTTACATGGTTGTTGGAGTGAGTTACATGGTTGGGTGAAAATGTTACATGGTTGGAAGAGTGTGTTACATGGTTGTGTGAAAATGTTACATGGTTGGTAGAGTGTTTTACATGGTTGGGTGAAAGTATTACATGGTTGGTAGAGTGTCTTACATGGTTGGGTGAAAGTGTTACATGGTTGGTAGAGTGTGTTACATGGTTGGGTGAAGGTGTTTTATGGTTGGTAGAGTGTGTTACATGGCTGGGTGAAAGTGTTACATGGTTGGTAGAGTGTGTCACATGGTTGGTTGAAAGTGTTACATGGTTGGTAGAGTGAGTTACATGGTTGGGTGAAAGTGTTACATGGTTGGTAGAGTGTGTTACATGGCTGGGTGAAAGTGTTACATGGTTGGTAGAGTGTGTCACATGGTTGGTTGAAAGTGTTACATGGTTGGTAAAGTGAGTTACATGGTTGGGTGAAAGTGTTACAGGGTTAGTAGAGTGTGTTACATGGTTGGGTGAAAGTGTTACATGGTTGTTGGAGTGGGTTAGATGGTTGGGTGAAAATGTTACATGGTTGGAAGAGTGTGTTACATGCTTGGGTGAAAATGTTACATGGTTGGCAGAGTGTGTTACATGGTTGGGGGAAAGTGTTACATGGTTGGTAGAGTATGTTACATGGTTGGGTGAAAGTGTTGCATGGTTGGTAGAGTGTGTTACATGGCTGGGTGAAAATGTTACATGGTTGGTAGAGAGTGTTACATGGTTTGGTGAAAGGGTTACAGGGTTGGTAGAGTGTGTTACATGATTGGGTTGAAAGTGTAACATGGTTGGGTGAAAGTGTAACATGGTTGGGTGAAAGTGTAACATGGTTGGTAGAGTGTGTTACATGGTTGGGTGAAAGTGTTACATGGTTGGTAGAGTGTGTTACATGATTGGGTGAAAGTGTTACATGGTTGTTGGACTGAGTTACATGGTTGGGTGAAAATGTTACATGGTTGGAAGAGTGTGCTGTTTGTAGAGTGTGGTGTTTAAAGTGTTACATGGTTGGATGAAAGTGTTACATTGTTGGGTGAAAGTGTGACCTGGTTGAGAGCGAGTGTGTTACATGGTTGGTAGAGTGTGTTACATGGTTGGGTGAAAATGTTACATGGTTTGTAGAGTGTGTTACATGGTTGGGTGAAAGTGTGTTAATGGTTGGGTGACAGTGTAACATTGTTGGTAGAGTGTGTTACATGGTTGATAAAGTGTGTTAATGGTTGGTAGAGTGTGTTACATGGTTGGGTGAAAATGTAACATGGTTGGTAGAGTGTGTTACATGGTTGGGTGAGAGTGTTACATGGTTGGTAGAGTGTGTTACATGGTTGGGTGAAAGTGGTACATGGTTGGTAGAGTATGTTACATGGTTGGGTAACAGTGTTACATGGTTGGGTAACAATGTTACATGGTTGGTACAGTGTGTTACATGGTTGATAAAGTGTGTTAATGGTTGGGTGACAGTATAACATTGTTGGTAGAGTATGTTACATGGTTGGGTAACAGTGTTACATGGTTGGGTAACAGTGTAACATGGTTGGTAGAGTGCGCTACATGGTTGGGTGAAAAGGTTACATGGTTGGTAGAGCGCGTTACATGGTTGGGTGAGAGTGTTTCATGGTTGGTAGAGTGTGGTACATGGTTGGGTGAGAGGGTTACATGGTTGGTAGAGGGTGTTACATGGTTGGGTTAAAGTGTTACATGGTTGGATGAAAATGTTACATGGTTGGTAGAGTGTGTTACATGGTTGGGTGAAAATGTTACATGGTTGGTAAAGTGTGTTACATGGTTGGGTGAAAGTGTTACATGATTGGTAGAGTGTGTTACATGGTTTGGTGAAAGTGTTACAGGGTTGGTAGAGTGTGTTCCATGGTTGGGTAACAGTGTAACATGGTTGGTAGAGTGTGTTTCATGGTTGGGGGAAAGTGTTACATGGTTGGTAGAGTGTGTTACATGGTTGGGTGAAAGTGTTACATGGTTGGTAGAGTGTGTTACATGGTTGGATGAAAGTGTTGCATGGTTGGGTGAAAGTGTTACATGGTTTGGTGAAAGTGTTACAGGGTTGGTAGAGTGTGTTACATGGTTAGGTGAACATGTTACATGGTTGGTAGAGTGTGTAACATGGTTGGGTGAAAGTGTTACATGGTTGGGAGAGTGTGTTACGTGGTTGGATGAAAGTGTTGCATGGTTGGGTGAAAGTGTTACAAGGTTTGGTGAAAGTGTTACAGGGTTGGTAGAGTGTGTTCCATGGTTGGGTAACAGTGTAACATGGTTGGTAGAGTGTGTTTCATCGTTGGGTGAAAGTGTTACATGGTTGGTAGAGTGTGTTACATGGTTGGGTGAAGTGTTACAGGGTTGGTAGAGTGTGTTACATGGTTGGGTGAACATGTTACATGGTTGGTAGAGTGTGTTACATGGTTGGGTGAAAGTGTACATGGTTGGTAGAGTGTGTTTCATGGTTGGGTGAAAGTGTTACAGGGTTGGTAGAGTGTGTTACATGGTTGGGTGAAAGCGTTACATGGTTGGTAGAGTATGTTACATGGTTGGGTGAAAGCGTTACAGGGTTGGTAGAGTATGTTACATGGCTGGGTGAAAGTGTTACATGGTTGGTAGAGTGTGTTACATGGTTGGGTGAAAATGTTACATGGTTGGTAGAGTGTGTTACATGGTTGGGTGAAAGTGTTGCATGGTTGGGTGAAAGTGTTACATGGTTGGGTGAAAGTGGTACATGGTTCATTGAAAGTGTTACATGGTTGAGTGAAAGTGTTACATGGCTGGGTGAAAAAGTTGCATGGTTGGTAGAGTGTGTTACATGGTTGGGTGAAAGTGTTATATGGCTGGGTGAAAATGTTTCATAGTTGGATGAAAGTGTTACATTGTTGGGTGAAAGTGTTTTATGGTTGGTAGAGTGTGTTACATGGTTCGGTAAAAGTGTTACATGGATGGTTGTAAGTGTAACATGGTTGGTAGAGTGTGTTACATGGTTGGGTGAAAGTGTTGCATGGTTGGGTGAAAGTGTTACATGGTTGGGTGAAAGTGGTACATGGTTGAATGAAAGTGTTACATGGTTGAGTGAAAGTGTTACATGGCTGGGTGAAAATGTTTCATAGTTGGATGAAAGCGTTACATGGTTGGGTGAAAATGGTACATGGCTGAGTA